GGATCAGAGTCCAGAACTTTCCTTTATCTGAGATGGAGGGCAGAGATCCGGTCCCACCTGATTACAGCCATCTTCATTTGACATCTTGAGCCAGAGAAATCAGTTTTGTTTTTGAAAGACTCTTTGCCTTTTCTACCTTTTCAACAATGAACGGGCAATACTTTCATGATCACAAATAAATGAGGAAAGAAGGAGAAGGGGCAAAAAGCACTGGGTGGGCAGAATGCCCTCAGGCTGGCTTCAGGTTGCTCTGGTCTCCTTGGGAACTCTCTGATCTATCCCCGCAGGCTACCTGGTCCCTCTATGCTGTGGAGGTCTTGGTGGAAAGTGAAGCAAGGCTGGGGAGAAATTCCAGAAGCATCTATTCAGGCTGCCATGAGCTCTGGGTACACGAGACACAGGAGTCCCCAAGACCCTGACACGGGAAACTGTTAAGTGTTCGGTTTCTCAAGACACAGATCCACAAATCCTGTTTGTTTCCTTGGTTGGCTGGTTTTGGTTTTAGGGACACAACCCAGAGTGCCCAGGTGCTACTCCTAGAGCCATGCTTGGAGGTCACTTCTGGCAGCGTTCCATTCCAAGGACCATGTGGTGCTGGGGGTTGAACCCAGAACTCCCACATACAAAGCATGCAGACTACCCTTTTGAGTTATTTCCCAGGCACAGACCTACAACATTCTTTAAAAGGAAGCACCCATGACCTTCCAAAGAGTTAGGACTCAAGATGACAACCATCTAGAAAAAGGCAAGAAACCTAACAATTGTGTTCTACTGTCAAAAACTAGCAGTGGATTAAGAAAGATCCTGCCTGATGAATTCACATTTAAAAAACATTATTATTATTATTATTATTATTATTATTATTATTATTATTTGCAGTGCCAGGGATCAAACCCAGGGCCTCACACCATCAGGCAAGCTTGTTACCACTGAGTCACGTCCCTGGTTCTCACATTAATTAAGTCTGCTTTTTCCCTTTCGGAATCCACACTTAGCCCCATCCAAAGCAGGAGGGAATCATTCATGGACAGTCATGATTATTCACACAATTCAGTCCTTTCAGTCTCAGAAACCCTGCTTTTGTTTCTTTGTTTTGTTTTAGGGGCATACTCAGCAATCCTGATAGGGAACACTTCTTATTCAGGGGTCAGTTCCTGCCCTGTGGTTCTTCGATGACCATGCAGGGATAGAACCTGGGGTTCCTGCATGCACAGCCCAGAACCTCCCATCTGGCCTCTTCATCCAGGGCCTTAGGCTAGTTTCTGCTGTGGCAAGGACCAGAGGCGCTCAGAACTCAGCGGGCACTGAATCCCAGCCACCAACTGAGCTCCCACAGGTGCTGAGGGCTGTGAGCAAGTCAGGCCGGGGGCCTTTGAGGCTGCAGGCTACAGATGATACCCAGGTGTCAGGCTGGGGAAGAGGGAACTGCACGGAAAGAGAACCCCCAGGAGGGTGTACAGGCTGGAGGCTGGGGGGGGTGCACTAGGAGAGGTGCAGAACATCTCTGGAGCCGGTGGGCGAAGGTAGAAGATTCTTCTTCAGAGGAATGGGGGAGGCTTGTGCGTCCTAGCCAAAGTGGAGGCAGCAAAAAAAAAAAAACTGGGAAAGCTTCAGAAACAGATGACCTCATGGGCCTGGAGTTTGGGACTAGGGTGACAGTGGGGGGTTGAGGCAGCAGGGAAGGAAAGGGACAAACGAGATTAGAGATACACTATGGCCAGTTGGCCAGAACCAGGACCTTGGTGTTTTCGGGAATGTGGGCTTCACCCTTATGTGTCATTGAAGGTTTCTGAGCAGAGCAGATGGACTCTGGACCCATAGGTCTGTGCTTGAAAAGATGGTGTTGGGGCTGGAGAGATGGCTCAAAGGGCTGGGGCTCATGCGGGAGCACCGGGTTTGATCCCCTGTACTGCACTGCACCATTAGCAATGATTTTAGGGCGCCAAGCTGGGAGGAGATCCGAAACATCTTCAATTATGCTCAAAATAAAAAAAATAAACAACTATGGCTGAGGATGAGAGTAAAGGACAAGGCTTTGAGATTAGAATAGAGGATGGATCTGTAGGGTTGGGGGAGGGGAGAGTAACAGCAGTCCTTCAGCTGCAAGTTATGGGTAGGACCTGTCAATTTGCCAGGCTCAGTGCAAAAGGAAAACGCAGGATTGTCCAAAAATATTAAGGATTTCAAGACAGGGACAATCGAGCATCGCCAAGAACAAGGACCCTTTTAGTGTGAGGCCCTGTGCTGCCATAGGCCACACACCCACAGTCAGTCCTGCCCTGTGGTCAAAAAGAAATATTGGGAAGGCAGAACCCTGAGACTGCTAGGCAGAGCGAGCCTGGCTAATGGCTTTGGGTCCTAATTACTGGATCACCTGCTACTTCATGTCCATCCCACTGGGTGTCTTCAGAACAACTCTATTTTAAATCATTTATTTATTATTTGGGTTTGGGTCACACCCTGTGGTGCTCAGGGATCACTCTTGGTGGAGACCCTATGGGGCTCCAGGAATTGAACCCCGGTTGGCCACATGGCAAGGCAAACGCCTGCTGTACTATCTCTCCATCCTTGTAACTCTCTTTGTGAATTTTTTTTTTTCATTTTTTGGGGTTTCACACCTACAAATACTCAGCGGCTACTTCTGGTCTGTTGCTGGGAGTCAGTTCCAGTAATGCTCAGGGGAACCATGCAGTGCCCGGGAATCGATCTTGGGCCTCCCACCCACAAAGCCTGCACACCTGCCATCCCTCCAGCCCCCCTCATCTCTAACTTACTAATATCTAAACTTAACTGTCCCCTCTCCTCACTGCCCTCCGGATCTGTTCCCTCTAGGTCCCTATCTGAAGGTGTCACCATTTACCCAGCCACCCTGTTAAAAAGTCACTCCTCTCTCCAGTCCCTTCCCTTCCGGCAATTTACTTCCTAAATGTTTCTTCCGAAGGGCCAGGCCTCTTCAATCCCTGGCTATCACTGCCAAGTTCCGGCAGGCCCTTATCAGCTGGGGGCTGGATTACCCACAAAAGCCTACTATCTGTCTTTAGCCTGGGTCCTGACCCCACCCCCACCTCAGGTCAAAGAGCCTCTGGGAGGTCCTCACATGCGCACCTGCCCTTCCCTCCCCCCTGCACCCCACAAAACCCTCCTCAGGGGGCTGCTTCAGGGAAGGAGAAACTCCAAATGCCCCAAATGACACATGAGGCTGTCTGACCCCAGGACCCATTTTAACCTTCCACTCAATGCCAAGGGTGCGCTGTCTCTGACAAAACTAGGTGGCCTTCCTCTTTAACTCCCTCAGTTTCCTCTGCCTTCCACCCACTCCAAGGCCTGACAAACCTCGAACCTCAGTTCATTCTTTGGAGTTTGCTGGCTCTGGGAGGTGTTCTCAGGGTCCTGCCTTGCTCCACAGGCACTGGGACCCAGGACCAGGGCCCAGTGGATCCCGTGAACTTCCCTGTGCTGAGCCCAACACAGCCTGGCCTCACAGAGGTGTCAGGCGAGTGTGCTGGCTCTGGGGGCAGGTGGACCTGGAAGCCCTGGAGGAGATGCAGGTTTCAGGAGAGGCACGAATAACCCCAGAGAGAATCCAAATTCCATTCAGCTTCATGCAGTGGCAGGGCCTGGGCTTTACGACTGACAACATCGACCCAGTGGCTAAACAGCTCTCTGGCTGGCCACCTGATGCAGTGACTTCAGAAGTTGACTTCTGCTTCCTTTCCCCTGTAAGCCTAGGAGAGAAGGCCCTCTGTAGTGGACATGGGCTGCTCCTCTTCCAGCAGTCCCAGGCTAACAAGAAAACGGTTGGCAGTTAGCCTGGGGTGTGTGCGTGGTGGTGGTGGTGGGGTTGTTTTGCTCACATGTGTCCCTGCACTTAGCTGAGCCCTCAACAAACACTTGCTGAATGGGTGGATGATGTCCAGGTCCCCGAAGAATGTGGCTGGGCCGCCTGACACTGCCAGGGACTGGTGTGGGCAGAGAGCTGGGATTATTCCTGAGCCACAGCTAATCCCCCCGATCCAGAAACCACCTGGACAGCAGCAGTTGGCTGAACTGAGCCTCATCCCTGTCTGCCTGCTGAGGCTGCCGCTGATTTCACGACATTTCCCAGTGGCCAGAAAACTGATCTCCAAATTAATCATCATTTCGATCCTGATTGGCGTGGGGCAGCCGCACAGGAAGGTTCTTCTGTCCATCCTTTTAGGGCTGACTCCATGGGAGGAGATTCACCGCTTGGCTCTTTTTTTTTTTTTTGGTCGGGCCTTTTCCCCCCTTTCGGTGTACTTTTATCACGGAAAATTCCAAACATACCGGAAACGGGGAGAAAAACAAGGATAAGGCACCCCTGGGCAGGTAGCATTTCGGCAATTACCGACACAAACCCATCCTCGGGTCCTGTTTAAAAAAAAAAAAATCAGCCCTTGAGGCACATCCTGGCTCACAGTTCGTTTCGCGCGCCCAGACTTCGGCTCGGGATCCACTGGATCCCTGTGGGGGCCCCCTCCACCGCGCCCCCCGTTCCAGCACCTCGATCGCCCTAGCGGACCCCCCAGCCACCGGCCCGTGGGTTCGGAACCGACGTCTAGGAAACGCAAAGCGCCCCCGTGCGGCCCGCCCCCGCCTCCTCTTCCTCCTCCTCCTCCTCTTCCCGCACGGTGTGGGTCACCGCGGCCCCGTGGCGAGCTGACCCCCCACCCCCACGCCGGCGGCCGGCGGTGATGCACGAGTGAGTGTGTCCGCGCGCGGCCACGGAGCGCGCGGGGCGCGGCCCGGCACTTCCTCTCCCCGCGGCTGACTCAGGCGGGCCCGCCCCGGGGGCGTGGCCAGCGCCGAAGGGCAGCCCAGCCGCGGCCTTATATGGGCAGCCACGTCACGGGCCGCTCGCTCATTCACATAAAACGCGGCGCCGCCGGCGGAATCCCCGGCTTTCTGGGGCGGCGAGCGGCCGGGAGCGGGTGCGCGCGTGCGCGTGCGGGGCGGGCAAGCCGGAGACGCGCGGCCGCTCGGGCGCCGGGCTCGGTCCGGAGCGCCCCGGAGCGTCGCCGGCGGCGCCACCCTGGCCGTGGGCACCTGCGGGCCGCTGAGCGGCGGCGGCGGCGGCGGCGGCGACATGAAGGTCACGTCGCTCGACGGGCGCCAGCTGCGCAAGATGCTCCGCAAGGAGGCGGCGGCGCGCTGCGTGGTGCTGGACTGCCGGCCCTACCTGGCCTTCGCCGCGTCCAGCGTGCGCGGCTCGCTCAACGTCAACCTCAACTCGGTGGTGCTGCGGCGGGCCCGCGGCGGCGCCGTGTCTGCGCGCTACGTGCTGCCCGACGAGGCGGCGCGCGCGCGGCTGCTGCAGGAGGGCGGCGGCGGCGTGGCGGCCGTGGTGGTGCTGGACCAGGGCAGCCGCCACTGGCAGAAGCTGCGCGAGGAGAGCGCCGCGCGCGTCGTGCTCACCTCGCTGCTCGCCTGCCTGCCCGCCGGCCCGCGCGTCTACTTCCTCAAAGGTGAGCGCGTCTTGGGGGGCATGTTGGGGGGGGCCGCTCCGGGGTGTGCGCCCCCAGCGCCCTGGACCGCCGAGCCGGCGGAGGGCTGCACTTTGGGGTGGGATGGGGGGCGCGTTAGGTGCTGAGCGCTTCTCGGGGGTCCCCGGGGTGTGCGCCCCGGCTCCCTGGACCCCGGAGTCCGAGGCAGGGCTGCGCTTTGGGGTGGGATGGGGGGCGCTTTAGGTGCTGAGCGCGTTTCGGGGGTGGGGGGCGGACTCCGGCACGCGCTCCGGGGTGTGCGCCCCCGCGCCCTGGACCGCCGAGCCGGCGGAGGGCTGCACTTTGGGGTGGGATGGGGGAACGCTAGGTGCTGAGGGCGTCTCGGGGGTCCCCGGGGTGTGCGTCCCCGCGCCCTAGACCCCGGAGCCTGAGGCAGGGCTACACTTTGGGGTGGGATGAGGGGCGCGTTAGGTCCTGAGCGCTTCTCGAGCAGGGGGGACTCCCGCACGCGCTTCGGGGTGTGCGCCCCCGCGCCCTAGACCCCGGAGCCCGAGGCCGGGCTGCGCTTTGGGGTGGGATGAGGGGCGCGTTAGATGCTGGGCGCGTTCTCAAGGGTCCCCGGGGTGTGCGACCCGGCGCCCCAGACTCCGGAGCCGGGGGAAAGCTGTACTTTGGGGTGGAATGGGGGGGCGCGTTAGACGTTGAGTGCGTGTCGCGGGGGCTCAGGCATACGGTCCGAGGTGTGCGCTCCCGCGCCCTAGACCCGGGAGCCGGGAGAGGGCTGCACCTGAGGGTGGGCTGGGGGGCCGCGTTCGCTGCTGAGTGCGTCTCGGGGGCTCTGGCATGTGCATCTCCGCGCCCTGAACCTGGGAGCTGGGAGAGGACTGCACCTTGGGGTGGGATGGGGGATGCGTTAGATGCGGAGCGCTTCTCGGGGGGGGGGGGGCTCCGGGGTGTGCACCCCCGCGCCCTAGACCTGGGAGCCGGGGCAGGGCTGCACTTTGGAGTGGGATGGGGGGCGCGTTAGGTGCTGAGCGCGTCTGAGGGGTGGGGGGACTCCGGCACGCGCTCCGGGGTGTGCGCCCCCCGCGCCTTAGACCCCGGAGCCAGGGAAGGGCGGCACTTTGGGGTGGGAGAGGGGCGCGTTCAGTGCTGACCTCTCGGGGAGTTCCCCCCCCCCAAGGTCCCCTCGCCACCCTCTTTCCTAGAAAGCGCCTGGGCTGCCTGGCCGGGTGGGGCTGGCGACGCAGCTGGGGGCGCTGCTGCTTAGCACTTTGGGGGACAGTCCCCCCTCGGCGCGTGCCGGGCGCGAGCTCTGCAGCTCTGGCTGGATCCGGCTCCAGACTCTTGAGGTTTCGGGATGAGGCTGATCTTGGAGGGATCTGCGGGTCGTGACCCTAAGCCCCCTCCTGCCCGCCCCCTTCCCCCTCTCCCCTCCCCGAGCGGAGGTGTCCCCTGGCCTCCGGCCTGGACAATTACGAAAGCAAGTCCGTATCTCTACGACCCCTCTTGGCTTTTTGACCCTAGCGAGCACCCTCCTCTTCCCTCCCATTTTGTTTTATTGCTTTTTTTTTTTTTTACTGTTTTCGTCCGGCCTTTAACTCCCTCCCACCCCGCCCTGGCCCCAGTTCTCCCTGGAGTTTTCTCTCGCCTCAATTTGTAGCTGATAGCTTTCCCACCCTTTTCGCCTCCTGTCTTCACCGTGCCCCCCCCCCAAAAAAAAAAACGGTCCCCAGCGGAATCCTGCTGGAGCCCAAGGCAGCGACCTAAGAGGGGAGGCCCATGCAGTGGGGGGTTGTCCATCCCTTTTAATTTGAGGACCCCCCCACCACCACCACCACCAGGAGCCGGGCTAGCAGTTTGCCCGCATTTCCAGTTGGGGAGCTGACTTTGACTTGTGGAGGGGGTGGGAGATTGACTCTCAACTGCCAGAGCATTGATTTCTGGGTCATCACTTCCTGTGACGGTTCCAGTCTTGCATCTGAGTCTTTTATAAAGCAAATAATATAGAAGCCTGGTCTGCAGTGCGGAGACGAGAACCCTAGGGCCCTGTAGCTTTGGCGCAGACGCCTGCATGGAACAATGATGTAGTTCAGAACTCGGGTGCAGTTTGCTGAGTTTGGACCCTCTTTTTCAAACATGCACGGGATCGGGAGATACTGCTTTTGGAACAGAATGCATGCTTTGCAGGCTCGATGCCCTTTGCAAACCAGACACGGAGCCAGGCATACATAAACCCCTGAACTGCTGGAATGGTCAAAAAAAAAAGACGAAAAAAAGAAAAAAGTATTTTAAATTAATAAAAATATGCAAACTTGGAGAATTTCACACTCGAGGCCAGATTCCAGAGGCACTTGGGCTTGGCAGCTCGCACCACTATTAGCACCTCGAGCAAACTCCCTCCTGTTGATTCCTGTTGGGGAAATAGCTGTGGCAGATGATAATCCTTCCTTTTGCAGTCTCAGCACCCCCCTGGGAGGCCAGGATGAGGGATGCCCTCCAAGCTCTTGTAGAGGTTTCCCACGTGTCCTCTGATTTCTGTCTCTTCCTGATGTGGTTTTTGTCTCCTATTCTTAGCTCTGAGTACAGGAAAAGCTTCCGCCTCTCAGGAGCATAAAAGACATGTTCCAGGAAACTCCTCCAGTCCTGCCTGCCCCTGCTCCCCACCCTCTCCAGGGGAGGCCATGCTCCTGGTATAGAAGTTATTGCCACAGGAAGTGGGCATCTTTATAGAGCACCACCTCAGGGAAATTAATGTCTAAAATGTTTTGGAGTTATTGGGGGAGTGGAAGATGGGGGGGGGGGGGCGGCACTCCGTGCGGTGCTTAGGGCTTAGTCTGGGCTCTGAGTTCAGGGATCGCTCCTGCCAGTGCCCTGGGGTAAATGAGGTGCCACGGATCAAATCCAAGTTGGCCATGGGCAAGGCAAGTACCTTAGCTGCTGTATTTATCTCTCCAGCCCCTGAAATGATTTGATTTTTCATTTGTTTTGGGGCCACACTTGGTTGTGCTCCTGGCTCTGCACTCGAGGATTACTCCTCGTGGGCTCAGTGAACCTTAAGGGGTGCTGGGGATCGAACCTGGGTCAGTCGTGTGCCTGGCAGGCCCCTTACCTCCTGCTTTATTGCTCCAGTCCCTAAAATGTTTTTTTTTAAGGGAAGGAACATGCACAAATTAAAAATGTGAACAGTTAGAAGCTCTCATATAGATATAGATATATCCTCCCCCCTTCCCCCACTTTTGTGACGGGAATCAAACCCCAGGTCCCACACATCTAAGGCAATTGTGCTACTGCAGAATTCCATTCCTGGCCTTGTTTCATGCGCTCTCCCGGGCCCCCGTGGGTCGTGTCTCGCCTCACTATTTGAAGCAGTGTGCATGTGTGCAGAATACATCCTTGTCCATATGCTTTTGAGTGTGCACTGTCTTTCAGTAAAATGAGAATCGCGAGGTTGAAGAGTATGTGTTTTTAAGTTTCAGGGGAAATTACATAATATCTACCTTTATAACACTAATATACTTTATGCTGGTGCCAGAATTTTTTTTTATTTGTTTGTTTTGGGGCCATTCCTGATAGTGCTTGGGGTTTATGCCTAGTGTGGTGCTTAGCAAGCCACGTGGTACCAAGGGTTGAACACGGGGCTCTCCCACATGCCAAGCCTGTCCCCAGCCTTTTGAACCATCTTCCTGATTCAAAAGAAAGAAATTTTTTTGGTCTGTCACATGAATTAGGTTTTAATTTTAGATCTTGGGGCCATTTGCCTTCTACACCAACCTTAACCTCAGGCCCAAAAAAAAAAATGAGAACCGAGGAGATCTCTCAAAGGAGAGGCCCTAAGTTTGATTCCTGGGCACAATTATGTCAGATCCCATTGCTGGGATCAGGTGGCATGGTGCCCAAGCCCCTGAGCGCTGCCGGAAGGGCGTCCCCAGCAACAAAAAACTGCCAACGAGAAGACGACCAGATGGCGTCGTCCGCGTGTATTACACAGGGTGTCTGTGCCCCGGCTCGCCCTGGTAACATGGCGATGAACCCAAGCAGAATCTCTCTGATGAGAGCTGAAGCAGCCACAGAAGTGGCAGCCCAGTGAGGCAGCGGAGAGGAATGTTCTGTCTCTCCACGCCTCTGATGGGAGTGGGTGAAAGGCAGAAGCCTTCTAATCTGGAGGACTCCTCCTGACCCCGGCTCGCACAGGCAGGGCAGGGCTGTTTATCTGCCCCTCACCTACACTGAGACTCTTTGTCCGCCTGCCTTCTCGTCAGCAGACAGGCTTAGCCCACACCCTGGCGTCCCGTCTGTCCTCCCGTGGCCACCTCTTAAGTGCTCTATTTAAAGCCGAGTGACGGGGATGGCTTTTCGGTCCCAGCTTCTTATTCCACATTCCTGTCCCACAGCCCTCGGTTTGATTCCTGGAACCGAAAATATTGAGCCATAGGCACAGGAAGTGACTTCCTAAGTAGGGACCCGTCCTCTGAGGAAGCTGGGGGCCCTTGAAAACGGAATTTCCTCTGCCTTCTAGCAGGGAGAAGGCTGCTTCTAAGGACCGGGGAGTCAAGAAGCGAGGCTCGGGCCAGAGGGAGTGCAGGGTGCGGGCTTTGCAGGTGGGAGGCCCAGGTTCAATCCCCAGCACCCATTGGTGTCCTGAGCACTACCAGCAGAGACCCTGGAGCACCAAGCTTAGAGCAACCCCTGAGCACTGTGGGGTGTGGCTCAACCATGAGCAACATCAAAAAGAAGTCAGGCACAAAGACCTCTGCTTCCTTTTTGCCCCTCGATGGCCTGACCTCCTGTCATCCGCACCAGGACTGCGATCACCGGGCAGGACCGGAGCCCATATGGGGGCCCAGAGGACAGTTGGTGAAGGGAGATTTAGGGGTATTAGCAGGGGTGGGGGCAGTTCCCCGGAGCTGAGAGGAAGCAGTAATGGCACCATGACTCATTCTACGAATTGGCTGCAGCTATGAGGGGGATCAAGATGGCCTTGTAATCCATTAACCCTTTGTCTGCCGCCCAGGGGCTGAAAAGAGGCACTTGGTGGTCCACGGGTTGGGGGCAGGGCTGTGTCAATACCAACAGGAGACAAAACGGAGGGCATTGGGGGAAAATACAGGTTTTCCAGATGTTGATTTGGGAGGTTTTATTTGTTTTGTTTGCTTGCTTATATTTTGGTTTGGTTTGGGGGCCACACCCAGCAGTGCTCAGGACTTAGTCTTGTCTCTCTGCACTCAGGGATCACTCCTAGTGGGACTTTGTGGGGTGTGGTGGATCGAACCCTGGTAGGCCACATGCAAGGCAAGCACCCTGCCCATTGTCCTGTCACTCTGGGCCCCCTCAGGATGCATATTTAATTGATGTTTTGATGCCAGGTGAATCTTCTTGGCCAGAAAAAAAGTGCCTTTACTGGAGGCTCGTGGAAGCAGATTAGCTTGCCTTGGATTGGAAACCCAGGGTTTCCTCAGGCGAGACCGGCCACCTCACCCAGTAGCCCTCACTGTTCTGAGGGTGCAGAGGGGCAGGTTTTCAGTCACCCCACCCTTTCCCCTGCTTGAGGAGGCTTTTTCACGTTTTTTGTGACTTGACCCAATTGTCATTTTACCGTAAGTGATCCCTTTAGGGAAATTTAATAAGGATTTTTAGAAAACTCAGACCTGCCAGGAGTTGATTTAAGGGCGGGGGCGGGGGGTAGTTGGGTGTCAGGATGGAGGTTAAAACAGAGGTAGAAAGGGAGGGTGATTGGTTTTCCTTTAGGGGGCTGGGAATTGAGTTGGAGGGCTATTCCTCCAGTTTGGCTTGGAAGGTAATTCTCTCGGTGGATGACTAAATTGGCCCCTGCAAGGGGCCATCAGCAGTGTTCTTTAGCACCTTGGGAGTGAGGAAGGGCCTGGCCCTTTGATTGTCCTGAGTTGAAAGCCCCTGTTGGTCTTATCACCCCCAGTCCCTTATGAGTGGACATGGCTCCATCTGTGACCCTGCTGTGGGCCAAGGAGACGTGCTCGAATGTAGGAGTCTCCTTCCCCGCGTAAGTTAATGAAAGTCTGCACAGTCACACCTGGGCTTTCGATAAATGAGAAGCTGCTTTTGTTTCCTAGAGGGATTTGGTTAATATTTGCCTGGTATTAGATATCCCCTTTCACAATTTTAAGTTCTCCTGATAGACACAAAAAGCTAATCATTACCTCTCTGATTTGGGGGTGTTGGGTAGCAGGGATCGAACCTGAGTCTGCGTGCACGGCATGCCTTTACAGGCGAGCCACATCTCCACTCTAGGGTTGACTCTCTCTCTCTCTTTTTTTTTTTTTTTTTGGTAAATGTCTGTAGTCCATTTATTTTGGTTTTGGGGCCACACCCGGCAATACTCAGGGGTTACTCCTAACACTCAGAATTAATCCTGGCAATGCTCAGGGAACCATATAGGATGCCGGGGATTGGACCTGGGTAAGCTGCCTGCAAAGCAAGCACTCTACCCGCTGTGCTCTCTCTCTAATGTCATCTGTATTAGTTTTGTAGTTCTTACTCCTTTACACTCAGAGTATTGATTGACCCTTGGCATTTTTTTTTTTCCTGACAGCCTGAGAAATCAATGCTTACATCTGTCTCACCCCCTCCTTTTCTCGTTCCTCGTAGGGGGGTATGAGACATTCTACTCTGAATATCCTGAGTGTTGCGTGGATGTAAAACCCATTTCCCAAGAGAAGATTGAAACCGAGAGAAGCCTCATCAGCCCGTGTGGGAAACCAGTGCTCAACATCAGCTTCCGGCCGGCTTATGACCAGGTAGGCGGGTGGAGACATGAAGGGGGTGCCCAGCTCCTGGCTCTTCCTTCCCCGGCGCCCTCGCGCGTCCTCCGCTCACCAGCCGCGGCTGGTTCCTTTGCAGAGCAGGGTGTTGCCAGGGGCCTGTAGCTTCCGAGAGCTTCTGTTGCTTGCCAGCTGGAGTTTCCATCCAAGGGTTCATGGCTTCCTTCCAGCGAACAAGCTGACAAGCGCAAACGAGCCTGAGGATGCTCGGCAGCTTCTGGAGAAAAGGGGGAAGTGAGAGAGACGTTATTAGCTGGCCTGGGAGGTGCCGAGAAACTCTGAAATATGAAATACGGGCTCAGGTTTCCCTGAAGGCCTTTCTGGGCTGACTTCTGGGCTTCCTGTGTTGATCTTCGCTCTGATTCTTCCTGCTCTGTATTTTCTGAAAAGCCCAGCCCAGGACCTGTCAAAGGTGTGTCCTGTTGGTTTTTGACGGGGACAGGTTGAGGAAGAAGGGTTGTGAGGAAGACAACTGCTGTTTGGGTAGCTACTTCAGCTCCTCCCAGCGTTTCTAACGCCTCCATTTCCTTGATTTCTGGGATCAAGAAATCCCTGGGATGCTTGAACTGCACGTGGCTATTAACATGTGGACACGTTTCCTTCAAAGAATTGCATGTGGTAGGGGCCGGGGATGTGTCTCAGTGGGAGAGCCAGCGTGCGCCTGCCTTGCCTGAGGCCTGTGTCCCTGCCCCAGCATGAGGGGAAAGAGAACAGAGGATTGTACGCTGCGACGATGTGTTAAAGGAAGAATAAAATGGAAGGCTCTGTCAGGAGGGTACCTATGGACCAGGGGGATGAGGGAAAGGCAGGCGAGGATCCGACTCTGATAAGCCTGAGCCTAAAGCCCCCTTGCCCGTTTCACACAGGCCAGAGCTGTTCCGTGGGTACAGAGGCGATGGGTTTCCTGAGAATCTGGCAGCTGCATCTCGGGCCGCGTAGCGCCTCTTCTCAACTTGTCCTGACTCTTTCCATGACCTAGTTCTTGGATTTTCCACCCCTTGTCTTGGAAGAAGGCCCATTCCAGCATTCTGACTCCATCAGAGGAGCCTTTCTCGTTATCCAGCCCCCTCCTGCCCCCCCCCTCCCCCCAGTAAGGATGCATCCAACTTCTAAGAAGGAAGACAGAGTTTGCCTAAGAAGCTGGTGGTCTGCCCCAAGCAGAGAGAGCTCTGTCCCTGGGGACAGACTTCGGAGAGTAGCCAGGTGACCTTTCCATGAAGGGGCCCTGTGGTCAGGAAGCCTCCGAGTGTGGCAAGGTGCCAAGATTATTATTGTGTTTGTTTTCCCTCATTAAATACACGCCGTGGATGAGGAACCCTCAACTTTGAAGCCACGGGCATCCCGCCCAACTGGATTTCTGCTTGTTTGTTTGGGTTGTGTTTTCCTCCAGTTTCCCAGAAAGTGAAAGAGAAACAAGAATTGGCAGGATGTTGTGAAAGTGCGGCAGATCTGTCCTTTGGCCAAGTGGGGAGGCCCTGATGAGTCCCCAAGGCTTATCTGGGGAACCCCTCGTGTTACTTCTCAGCAGTGCTGTGTGTTGAGAGAAGAGGCGAGAGCGTGCTAACCTTTGGGGTTTCTGCCCGCCTTTGCAGTCTGCCTTCAAGTCTGAACGGAAGACTCAGGAAAGGAAAGATAGAGTTTTGGAGGTGCGCCAGGCCAAACTGTAGAGAAAACAGGAGAGGGCCCGAGACCACTATGTGGGCGTTCTCTAGGCACCCCAGAGAGGGATGAGATCTCAGTTGGAGGTGAACCGGGGGACCGCTGTCGGGCTAATCAAACGCTGCTGCTTCTATTCCGATCTTTTGTAAAATTCCCGGTCACTGTCTTCCCAGTGGCCCCCGGCCTTTGCTTCACCACCTCTTAGAAAAGGAAGAGCGAATGCCCCTTGCCTGCAGGGTCACTTGTGCCCCCTCCCGGTATGCGCCCCTTTTCCCGGTCACGGGTCTGCCAGACCGTTTCCTCTCCTGCCCTCCCCCGTTTCAGCACAGGAAAAGGAAACACAGGAAGCAGAGGGATGAGATGGGAAAGGCGCCTGTGGCCAGCCCCGTGTTTCCCCCTTCCGCTGAGCCCCCTGGGTTCCCATCGTTGCAGCTCTATAAATGCCCCCAGAGCCAGAGTCCCTGCTAGCCCGCTATTAACTTCCTCTCTGCCTCCCTGCTGAGTGGGAGAAACCTTAACTAGAAACCTGATGTGTGGGTGGCCCCTTGTAGCATGAGGACCTACGTGTTTCTCACTGAAACTCTGAAGGTCCAGCCCCGTATGGAAAAGATTACGTGGGGGAAGGCCCCCTTCTGGTGTGTCTGTGTGTGTGTGTGTGTGTGTGTGTGTGTGTGTGTGTGTGTGTGTGGAGGTGGAGGGTGAGTTTAGATCTCAGAAAGCTGGATGCATCCTGGGGTCAGCAGCGTCCGATGAAATACACTGTAGGAAACATCAGGGTTAGACCAGAGAGATTAACACAAGGGGTTGAGGCACTTGCCTTGTTCACAGCCCACCGTGGTTCAGGCCCTGGCACTGCCAGGAGGCCCTGAGCACCCCTGGGTGTGTGGCCCAGTTCCACCCCTGACCCGAAATAGATAAAACATCAGGGGCAGCCCCAGGATTTAGTGGGATTATGTACCCCGAGACTCAGAGCAGCCGGAACTCGGCTCCGTATACTTATTTGCTCAGGATGGTGCTGTTTCTCACGCCACCGGACGTGTGGGACAAGGAAAAGACTCACTGCGTGGGTTTCCCGGTCAAGGAGTTTGCATGAGATGGAGGCTGCGCCCGGCTACCCTGACTCTGAGCGCTGAACCTGGAAATCAGGAAGGGAAGTCCCACTTCTAAGAGCGAGTAGATGCAGGCTTGCTGGGGAGCGAGCGCCCAGAGTCAGGGTGCGTGTTAGGCGTGTGGGAGATGTAGGTCTGCTTGGCCTCCCCATGTACTGCTGGGAGCAGCTCCCCACAATCCCCGGAACTGAGAAAAAAAAAACCCCACCACCAAAAAAGCCCAGGGTTGATGTGCTTCCTCTCAGCGGGGCAGGCGTGCAGCCAAGCTTACCTGGTTGTCCTTTGCCCCTGCTTCCAGGGTGGCCCGGTTGAAATCCTCCCGTTCCTCTACCTGGGGAGTGCCTACCACGCGTCCCAGTGCGAATTTCTGGCCAACCTGCACATCACGGCGCTGCTGAACGTGTCGCGGAGGCCGTCCGAGGCCTGCACCACCCACCTCCACTACAAATGGATCCCCGTGGAGGACAGCCACACGGCCGACATCAGCTCCCACTTCCCGGAAGCAATAGACTTCATCGGTAGGTCTGGACACCGGGGCCACTGCAGCCCCCTACCCACCCCCCACACCCCCATCCTGCTGGGGCGCCTTCCTGGAGGAAAAAGCCCGTTGTCTGCACCATCCCTAAAGCTTGCAGTTGAGAAGGAGTGCTGCCACCAAAGGAAGGAGGGGGAGGACGCTGTGGCTATTAATAGGAGCCTTAATTTGCCAGATAAATGAATGAATAGGATTGTGTGGCGTGCTCCTCGCTGCCACGCTTGTCATTGTTCCTAGCCTAGCCGGGTGGGTAGCCCAGTGGTCTGCGCTCAAGGCACCCCCTTGAGGGCAGCAGAGGCGAGTCGGCACCGCCCTAGCTGGGCCTCCACGTGGGCTGGGATATTTTTCAAAGGAAGCAGAAGGCTGGGGCGCACGCCTCTTTCACACAGAGCCCCAAGGGCCCCGGGAAGCTTTCTGCAGTTCTTGGCAGACAGACCGCTTTGGGGGCAATTTGTTTTGCGTTTTCAACTAATTTTGGATTAAAGATAGCACTTGCCTCAGCTTCATGCTTTTAGAAACAGAAAAGTTGGCGTCTCTTATTGTCGTTTGAAAATCTGGGAGGCACGAAGCTGTCACATTTGCTCCACAGTGTGGGCCTGAAATCCAGGGCCGAGGCCTCCCTCCGGCCTCTCTGCCAGGGAGAGATTCTGGAGGCCTCGGGGTCCCCAGTGCTCATGGGGTCCGGGATTTCCTATCCGGCCTCTCCGCCTCTATACCTCTCTTCAGGTTTTTTCTCCCTCCAATTTCCAAGCACCATTTCCCATGCCCTCGGGCTTGCTCCCTCTCCCCTGGACCTGCCTCTTTGAACTTGCATCATTATTAAAGCTAAGACATGATTTTCTTATATCTTGTTCTGAGAGCTGTTGAGCTCCGTGATAATTTCTTAGTGCAGGTAGCCAGGAACGGGCTCCTCCCCAGACACAAGAGTAGATCCATTCCACTCAGTGCACACAATTTCAGCCCCACGGGAAACCCCTGTGAGAAACATATAAAGACCAAGCCTATCCTGTCCCATGCATTCCCCTGAGAAGGAACCAGAATGATGGGTTCCGGCTTGGAACCCGGACTGGGCTCTCCCTCTCCCTGGGAATGCCTGGCCCTTCCTAGCCTGTTACTTAATTACCTAGATAGCTGCCGGGTGAGGTCATGGAGCCCGCCCCCATTCAGTTCTCAGGAGCCGCTCCATCCTGTGTGCACATCGTGTCTGTACACCAACACACAAACCCACAGCATCTGGAAAGCTCAGGAAGCATTCTCCCACCCACCCCCGACTCGTTGCCTGAGAATGAGAGAGATCTGGAAGCGATGCAGGCCAGGCAGGGCGAGTGCTCAGCCCTGGAGTGCATGCTCTGCTGCAGGAGACACCAGAAGGGGAGACCACAGCAGGGGCCTGTAGCCCCGCCGGAAGTGGCCCTCAAAGGCAGAGGCAGAGCACTCTGGGCTCTTGAGTCACAACCTGAAATTGGGGTCTCCCCTTTGAACTAGTTCATAGGGACTTTTTTTTTTTTGACTCAGAGACTGAATTGGGCAGGCTGGGGCGGGGGGAGCGCTAATGTGTTACCCTGGGGTGCCCTTTGGGGTTTTCTTTCTAACGGGGAAACTCCAGGGTTCTTTCCTGACTTCAGAAACTTGATTTGCAGATTTTATAGATGCATTTGCAAAATTCATGCACTTGAGGAGGGAGTGAGGTGGGTGATAGAGTTAACTTTTCCTCTCAAAAAATTATTTGTTTCGTTTCGGACCCGGGTCAGCCGGGCCGGCCGCATGCAAGGCAAATGCCCTACCGTTGTGCTATCGTGACCCAGGTTCGATTCCTCTGCCCCTATCGGAGAGCCCAGCAAGCTACTGAAAGTATCTCGCCTGCACGGCAAAGCCTGGCAAGCTCCCCGTGACGTATTCAATATGCCAAACACAGTAACAAGAAGTCTCACAATGGAGACGTTACTGGGCCTGCTTGAGCAAATCGATGAACAGTGGTAGGACAGTGCTACATGATTTGTTTTGGACCACCCAGTGTAGCAGGGGTTTACTCCTGGCTCTGCATTCAAGGATCACTCCTGGCAGGGCTCAGGGGGACCATATGGTGTCCCCGGAATTGAACCCAAGTCGACTGTGTACAAGTCAAGCACCCTGTCTGCTATACTATCTCTCCAGCCCCACCTGAAATAAAATGTAAGCGTTTTGCACACTGGCCTTCCTTCCAGGGTGCCAGCGCATCTAACCTCCTGCGTTGTCACTGTTTCCTCAGTTTGGATGTGTACATGTGCTGCGTCTCATCCTGTTGTAGCGGTCATAGCTCTTGGTGGGCGAGAGGAGTGGATTAGAAGTGGGCATCCCCCCCTTTTTGTCGTGTTGAGCTGCAGAATGCCAACCCACGGTGGTAGCTTTACCCCATTGTGCAGAGTGGGGTTTGCGCAAGCCATTTCTACCCTCGTCTCCTAAGCGTCACGGAGCCCAAGCTATAATTAGTGGCCATGTTCTATTTATTGCATGTTTGGTGGTGGGAACCCTGGGAGCTGAGCCAAGCATCCCTCCCTGACATAACCAGACTGACATAACCAGAGGCCTCTACCAGCCTGGGGATTAGGTCATCGCCATTAGAATCAGACTCCGGGAGCTAGAAATGACATCTCCAAGCCAGTCTTTTGGGTTTGGAACCTACTCAGAAAGAGGTGCCTTCCTCTGTGCTAACTTGTATGCACCTTCTTTTTTTTTTTTTTTTGCTTTTTGGGTCACACCCGGCAATGCACAGGGGTCACTCCTGGCTCTGCGCTCAGGGATTACCCCTGGCGGTGCTCAGGGGACCATATGGGATGCTGGGAATCAAACCCGGGTCGGCCGCGTGCAAGGCAAACGCCCTACCTGCTGTGCTATCGCTCCAGCCCCTGTATGCACCTTCTTAAACTCCCTCGTGGACCCCATGTGTAGATGAAATCCGTAGGAAAGGGATGGTTTTAATTCTCACACCTCCAGTGAGAGTCTGTGCAGGTATCCTGGGAGAACGGAGACTCACCTGTAAGACGTAGTGGGTTTGCTCTAGAGAGACAAACTCAACTGGCTCCAGCAAGTGCTTTGTATCCCAGAGGCCCAGGTTTTGTCCCCAGTACCACATGGTCTCCTGAGCACTGCCAAGTGTGGCCCAGAAAAAAATTTCACAGGTTTGTGTTTGTTTGGGGCAGTGTTGGGACTTGAACCCAGGGCCTTCCCACATGCAAGAACTATGCTGTAGCAGTGAGCACATCCCTGACCCTAGCAGCTACAAGATTAATAAAAGTCCTCTTTGGAGACAGGCTTGGGTAAGACCCCGAAGCTCCCACTCTGGAGATTCGAGTCCATCGTAGGAGACTCTTGGGGGGCAGGGGTGGTCTTCGAAGTGAGGTGCCTTTGCTGGTCAAGTCTTGGGTTTCGTCTCTGCCTTTGGGTCCCAGCCCCAACTCACGGCCCCTGTTTCCTTCCTTCCTTCCAGACTGTATCCGGGAAAAGGGAGGCAAGGTCCTGGTCCACTGTGAGGCGGGGATCTCGCGGTCGCCCACCATCTGCATGGCTTACCTCATGAAGACCAAGCAGCTCCGCCTGAAGGAGGCCTTTGACTACGTCAAGCAGAGGAGGGGCGTGATCTCACCGAATTTCGGCTTCATGGGCCAGCTCCTGCAGTACGAGTCAGAGATCCTGCCTTCCACGCCCACCCCGCAGGCGCCTTCCTGCCAGGGGGAGGCGGCCAGCACTTCCTTCCTGGCCCACTTGCAGACACTGAGCCCCGAGCTGCCGAGCCCCTACTGCACATTCCCTACCTCAGCGCTGGCGCCCGCCCCCACCCACTCGGCCGTCTCCGAGCTCAGCAGGGGCTCCAGGCCCACAGCCACGTCCTGCTAAGACCGGGGTGGGCCAGGCCGCCCGGGCCCAAGAACTACTGTGATTTCATTTTTTTTTAAACTCGTGGACATTTCATACCTGTGCAATACTGAAGACCCCCCTCGCTCCGTCCCGTGATCCCGACGGGCCAGTGAGTGGTCACCAGGCTTGCAAACGAACTTCGGACAGACCTCGGGGACCGGTTCTCGGGACCGAAGGAAGGCCAAGCCATGATGCGGGCACAGCGTGTGCTGACCACTGGACTCGCAGAGCCCCCGCCCGAGGGCTGCCCGGGCCTCGAACCTCTCAGAGTTCGCCTTTTCATTTCAAGCGCAAGGCAATAAATATCCTGCCCCCGCGGGGCCAGAAAGCAGTTGCTTGACCAGGAGAAAAGGCAGTTTCAAAGCCAACTCATTTTGAAGGAAGCACAATTTCCACCATGTTTTTGTCCTTCTGGCAGTCCCAGTGTCTGTCTCTGTCGCTTCCAGGCACGAGCTCCATCACCGTGTGGTCAGGACAAGACCCTCCTGGGTCTGGGCGCACCGACAAGGGCGCTGACTTGAACCTTCAGATGTCTGTCAGATACTGCCCCCTCCTGCCCCTTGTTGAGTCCCGTGGAGGCGGCTGATTGCAGGGACAAGACGTGGACTGCCTCTGGGTTTTCTTGTCACTGAGGGTTTTCCCTGACCTCGAACTTGGGGTGATTCTTCCTCATACTTGAACCTTTCTCATCGCTCCTCTCCTCAAAGCAACTCTTACGTCCTTTGCAAAGAGTTCTTCAACCATAGACCAAAAATCAGCTCTTTGAGGTGATGGCGGTGGGTACCAGGAGAGAAGAGACCTGTAGTCCACACCAGTGGCACCAAGGGGGCCATTCTCCCAGCTTGCCGTCGGAGTGTGCTGGTCTGTCTGTTGTGAACTGTTGTTTCCTTCCCTGCCCCTGGGGGTTGTCTCCAAGCTGTTGACTTCGGAAATTTTCCGATTTCACAATGTGGTACTATTTTTTTTTCTTTTTTCTTTTGTCTTTTTTTTTTTGTCTACAGGTTATTATCTCCAGGGGAAATGGCAATAATTTCCTACAATCCATATGAATGTGAAGAAAGCAGTATGTTACTGGTTGTTTTTGTTGGGGTTTTTTATATATATATATATAGATAGATATATAAGTGCAAAATAAAAATAGCAAAAGAAAAAAAGCTCTTCATGTTGTTGAATTGGGATGAGGTGGCATTCACCTTTGTGCTCAAACCCAAGGTGTCACACATACAAGGACATCAGCTTTCCACTCAACTACACCCCAAGGTGAAAGTTGCTCTCAGTGGGGCTCCAGCCTACTTCCTGGGTTTTATTTCCAAGTGAACGGAAGGTGTGGCAGAGGCTGTGCGTGTCCCCACGCGCCAGCCAGGGAATGTAATGATAGGAAATCCTGCTCTTTTCAAATCAGACCTTTCCCTAAGCTCCCTGGCTCGAGAGTCCTTAGATGCAGCCATCCTGTAGGTCAAGAGCATTTGCTCATGCTGACCTTGAATTTTGAACTTTGAATCGAAGAAATGAGTGGACAGCTTTAGATGATCCTGACAGTCCCTTAAACCCGCACTTCTCAGCGTACCTAAGAGCCAAGCTTGTGGTCAGCCTCTTCCCTCCCTGTCATACTTGGCACTTTGCAGATGTTCACTCAGGGAAGGTGAAACCAAGGTTCACCTTACTGCCTGTCTCCCTCTTTTCACTCTTGGAACTAATTTTTCCAGCTCATTCCCTCAGACGCTGCTCCATAAGAAGTTCCTCATTGAGAAGTTTGAAATCCCAAGTTCCAATCCACTTGCCTCCTGAGTAACTCCCTCTAGGTTGATGGAAGAAGGAAGAAGCAGTATAATACAGTTTTCTCTCCATGCCTTTTCTTACCATGCCAGGCTAACATGAGGACTCTTTTCTAATCAGAGGAGAACCAGAAATTGGCTATAATGTATGCCACCGCTAGTGAGCTGGTCCCTGACACAAGGTCAAGTGGGGCCGAGGTGGGGTGTTCCAATCATGCCCTCAATTCTGGAGGACCCAGAAGGCCTCCAGCTCTCCAAGCATGTATCAGGTTAGAAAACAAGATGGCAGCCAGGGCCCACAGTTGCCCAGATCTTCCTAAACATTGCACTTTATAGACTAAGATCCTATTTCTCACGGGTCTTTTCTTTTTTCCAGCTGACCCTCCAGATTCCTTGGAAAGCACACAGGTCAGAAAGCCAATCAGATTAGACGGGCCCATTTCCTCAGCCCATGCTACTCGCCTGCACAGTCCAAGGAGGACTTCCCCTGGAGAACTGGAGTGTAGAGATGGGACAGAGGGGTCCTGGGTCCTTAGCCCTCACTCTGTCACAAACTGCATTGCTGTGGAGCTAACCTCTGACCTCCATGAACCAAACTTCTTCAGGCTAGCTGATGCCTCAGCCCAACCTGGGAATGTGTCCTGCTAGTTTGCGCCTGGTGCAAGCTTGTCCAGGTGGCAGTGACTTGGGCCTCCAGCAAGGAAGAGTCAGGGAGTGGGAAGTAGGGATGATGTGCTAAGCCGCGTCCCACTTGCTGACATTTGCTTTATTGCCTTCAAGTCTTTCTCTGAAGGGTGAGTAAGTCCTCTAAATCAGGCATCTGAGGATTGCTCATAAGCCAGTGAGTCACTGAGGGGTGAGCCAAGTGAAGCCCCACAGCTGGCAATGGCCCTAACTCTCACTCCCCTAATAGTCTGTTCATTAATTATTCCTCCTTTTTTGCCACCACCAACTTTGCACAGGCTGCCAGTGCCAGGTGGTGGGGAACTAAAGCTGCTATCCGGTTGCTCTATTCCCAGACTTGAAGAAACTTTTCTGTTTTTTCCAGCCGCCTCAGGTCAAGAGGTGGCTGGAAAAATAGAGAAATTCATTTTCCCCTGTTGTTTCCTAAGAGGTTCTATAAGTGAGCCCGCTCAGGTCACTTCTGTTCCTGACTGAGCTGAGGGACGGCAGCAAGAAATGACTGATGGGCACCCCTGCGCTGTTGGGAGCCCTGTGGACCTGTGGATTATTGTGAAAGCATCCAGGAAATTATTATTTTTGTTTTTTGGGTCACACCCAGCAATGCTCAGGGGTTACTCCTGGCTCTACACTCAGGAACTACTCCTGGCAGTGCTCGGGGGACCATACGGGATGCCAGCCAGGGATTGAACCCGGGTCGGTCGTGTGCAAGGTACATGCCCTAGCCACTGTATTATCGCTCCGACCAGTCCAGGAAAAATTGTCCCCAGGTGGGACTAGAAGTGAGTTGCTGGTGATTTTTCTTCCGAACGCCTGACAGCCTCTGTCAGCTCCCGACTGCCCCTGGCTCCCTCTTAACTCAGGCCACTCAGAAGCAAGTCTTTTGCTAATCTTTAATCAAATCTCCAAAATATTGGCAATACTCCCCTATTAGCATGTGTTGGGGATATAAATTCCACCACATTTCCATAAACATTTCTCAATTTATTTTTCTTTCCGTATCCACGATGCAAAAACAAAACTCAAAACCTTGGGGAGTGAAGGCTATGTCACAATTCATTTCTGGAACAGGGTGGAGAACAAATTCATGTTGAGAGACACCTTTGCACGCCCAGGGTTGCTATTCTCTGTGTCACCCTGAAGGACTCATCTGTGGGGCTGGCTTCCTTTGTCCTCTGGGTAACTATCACATTTTCTTCTATAGGGCCTGGAGCAATAGCACATCGGGTAGGGCATTTGCCTTGCACTCGGCCAACCCGGGTTCGATTCTCAGCATCCCATATGGTCCCCTGAGCATTGCCAGGGGTGATTCCTGAGTGCAGAGCCAGGAGTAACCCCTGTGAATCACTGGGTGTGACTCCCCCCACAAAAAAAGAGCAAATTTTTTTCTATAATCAGCTAGGAGTGTGGCTTAGTTGCAGAGCTCATGCCTCAAGTGAGTGAGACCTGGGTTTAATCCCTGGCACCATAATAACAATAGTAATAACATGAATAAAAACCCTGACCCAATCCAGTCCCCATGGTCAAAGCCTCTCATCCAGATACGTGGCACTGCCCTGCCTTGATTTTTTTTTGTTGTTGGTTTTTTGTTTTGGGGTTACATCAGTGTTGCTCAAGGCTTGCCCCTGGCTCTGTGCTCAGGGGTCACTCCTGGTGGGGCTTAGGGAACCATGTGGGCTGCTGGGGATGGAACCCCAAGCATCGTACAACACACTCTATCTCTCCTGCCCCATGCCCTCCATTTCCCACCCTATATTCTGCTTTTAGTATCATATTTATTTATTTATTTATTTTGCCTTGGAATCAAACCAGGACTCATGTAGTCCAGGCCAGTGCTCTCCCTGTGAGCCACGTCCCTGGTCACTGCTGGCATCTTTCGTGGGACCCCTTGGCCTGGATTGACAAAAGCTAGGATGACTCCCTCACTGGATGTGATGAATGTGTGACTCTGGCCAAAAACCCATCACCACTCTGTGGAGTCGTGTGGACCTGCCCTGAAGCACTTCACAAGTATTGAGCAGGAGAAGTTCATAGGGACCTGGGCTTGGTCTCTGACACTGCCTGTCCTCCTAATCACTGTTAAGTCTAGCCCTCATGGTCCCCAACACCAAGTCGGAGGTGCCAAATATATATGTATATATATTTAAATTGGGGGGATGCCTGTGTCTGGGTGGTATTCAGGAACTACTTTAGCAAATTGCATTGGGATCACTCCTGAAAGTATTTAGGAGTTTGTTTTTGTTTTGAGGCCATACTGGCAGTGCTCAGGGCTTACACCTGGTTTATGCCCAGGGATCACTCTTGACAAGCTCAGAGCAACATATGGGTCAAACCCAGGTTGACTGTGTGTACAAGGCAAACACCTTACCTGCACTACTATTTCTCTGGCCGCTAAACTTTTTTAAAAAAATTAAGTGCTATAGCTGAAAGTGCTGGGGGCATATACTATGTGTGTGTGTCCATTCGTCCATCCATCCATGTTGATTTGTCTTGGAGCACAGCACGAACAGAGATCTGGATTCATTCCCCAGGACCTTCAAGTCCCCTAAATCTACTGAGTGTGATTCCCTCTCACCCCTGCCAAACAAAAAGACATCTGCATAAATACCACGACTTCTCACTGGGCTGTCTGTGCTCCACAGGAACTGGCATCTGAAACTGGACCCCTGTCCGAACACCATCCAGTAACATTCCCATCTTCCCTCTTCTCCCAGAATCCAGCTCTATCCTCGTCCCTTCTGAGCTCATCCTGCTTCATGCTCAGCTCAGAAATACCAGCCCCTCTACCTGCTACCGGCTAGGTCTACCTGTATAAACAATTCAATTTTTTTTAATTGAATCACCATGAGATAGTTACAATCTTTCATGTTTGAGTTACCATCACACAATGATCAAACACCCATCCCTCCACCAGTGCACATTCCCCACCACCAATATCCCTGGAATACCCCCCCTTTCCCACCCTCCCACTGCCTCCATGGCAGACAACATTCCCCATATTCTCTCTACTTTGGGGCATTATGGTTTGCAATACAGATACCGAG